GATCCTTCCACTGTCACTGACTCCTTCTACCACTACTGGCATGTTATCATTACTATCTTATGCTACCTCTACTGCACTGCTCCAAAACTGCAAAGGTACCAAACTTAATTTTCTACAGCTGGGTCTCAGCTTCAAATTTTGTACTTTTTCTGCTGCAACTGGTGCAATGCTATAAATGTAGTCGGCCCTCCTTTTTCTGTGACATACATACACTTAAATGTGGCTTTGCATGATAAAAACTTGCATGCTATGGGGCTGATGTACACCCCAGTCACATAGGGTGAGACTTGGCATGCAATTTACACGCCATGCAACTTGCACATCGTATGCCAAGTCGCACCCTATTGTCCGCTATTAGAGCGGTCATATCGGTGCGGTTCCGACTTGGATGGAGCCGCACTGATTTCTAAAGTAGTGCATGCACTACTTTTGGTGCGATTTCTTGAAAATCGCACCTCAAATCAGCAAGTCACCCGACTTTGAAATCGTGCGACTGTAAGTCACACAATTTCAAAATTGGCTTTGATGTGACCAGGGTGTAAGGCTACTTTCACACTGATCCACCCCAAAACGCCTCAAAAACGCATCATTTTTACAGTGTTTTAACCGCATTTTTGCCACGTATTGTAAAGGACAGGTGACTTAAAACTGCACCAAAATCACTTCTCAGAGGCATTTTTGTGGCGTTTCTTAGATGTTTTCCATTGATTTTAATGGGAAGAGGCATTTTAGGGGCGTTTTTTTTAACTCCCCAAATATGCCCCAAGAATACTACAAGCAGGAGTTTTTGCACCGCACCACAGGCGCAACGCCTCAGTGTGAAAGCATACATAGATATACATTCACATACATAGGGAAGCAGTTTTCTTAAGCTTTTCAGGCACTTTTTTTAATGCAAAAATGCTTGAAAAACTCCTGAGTGTGAAAGTAGCCTTACTAAAACTGGCCAATCAGCTTTTAACTTCAGCTAGTCAATTAAGCTTCGACAAAAAAAAATCTGATTACTTTCTATGCACAGCTGCACCAGATTTTTCACTCTCCAGTTTTAGTAAATCAACTCCTATGTGTTTATTTTAACCACATGCCGCCCAGCCACTGTAGAAATACGGCGGCAGGGTGGCACGGCTGGGCAAAAGCACGTTTTAAAACCTGTGTTTTGAAAACAGGTAGGGGGTGTGCGCGAGGCGCGCCGCCGCCCTACCTGTCCCACCGATCACAGCCGCGGATGTCAGTTCCCGGGTCACAGCCGGTCGTTACCGGCTATGTCCCGGCGATCAGCGGCAATCGCTGACAGCACAGCTGCAGTAGCTGTGCTTTCTGTCAGTTCCCTGACAGCTCCTGGACACGCTGATCAGGACAGAAGAGTTTCTCTCTCCCGATCAGCAGTGTTCCCTGCAGTACACACCCCTGCCCCCTAGTAAAACACTCCCCTCACACAGTTAACCCTTTCCCTGAATAATAAACTTAACCCCTTCCTCCCCAGTGCCATTAGTACAGTGTCAGTGGGTTATTTTTGCACTGATCACTCTATTGGTGTCACTGGGGATGTCAGTGACCCCAAGTCAGTACCCCCCAATGTCAGAATGTCCACCGCAGTCCAGCAGTCCCGCCATAAGTCACTGATCGCCGCCATAAGTCGCTGATCGCCGCCATTATTAGTATAAAAAAAACCTAAAAATCCCAGTATCTTTCCCGCCATTTGTAAACGCTATAACTTTCACGTAAACCAATTCATTTACACGTATTGGGTTTTTTTTTTTAGCAAAGACATGTCGCAGAATGCATTTTGGCAGAAATTTATGACTAAATTTGATTTTTAAATTTTTTTTTTACTGGACATGTTTTATAGCAAAAAGTCCAAAATATTGTTTTTTTTCCTCAAAATTGTCAGCCTTTTTTTTTATAGCACAAAAAATAAAAACTGCACAGGCGATCAAATACCACCGAAAGAAAGCTCAATTTGTGGGAAAAAAAAGGATGGAAATTTTATTTATGTACCGTTTTGCATGACCACGCAATTGTCCGTTAAACTAGCGCAGCGCTGTATAGCAACAAAAAGGCGTAAATTGCAGTATCTATACCATAGTTTGTAGACGCTATGACTTTCACACAAAGCAATCAATATACACTTATTGGGATTTGTTTTACCAAAAACATGTAGCAGAATACATTTTGGCCTAAATTTATAACCAACTTTGAGTTTACTATATATTTTTTTTATAGCTGAAAGTAAAAAATATCGTTTTTCTTCAAAATTTTTGGCCTTTTTTTGTTTATAGCGTGAAAAATAAAAAGCGCACAGGTGATCAAATACCACCGAAAGAAAGCTCTATTTGTGTGAAAAAAAGGACGTAAATTTCGTTTGGATGCAGCATTGCATGACCGCGCAATTATCAGTTGAATTAGTGCAGCGCCGAGTAGCAAAAAGAGGCCTGGTCATTAAGGGGGGTAAATCCTCTGGAGGGCAAGTGGTTAAAAACATATCCTACTGCAACTGCTTCAGTGTTGACTATGGAGTATATACAGTATTGTCAGCTGTACTCTTGAAATAATATGCTCTAGTATTTTTTTTTTTTTATATAAACCTGCATGGGCTTTGCTTCTGAAATTACAGCCTAGTAAAAGGCTGACATAGTGTTCATGGAGTCTGTACAATTTTTTTGGCTTTGGTCCCACAAACGATAGACTGTAAATTGTATTTCCTATTAAAAACTGCCTTCTTTCTCCCTCTTTAACTGCAGCATAGTAAAACTGTGTAGCAAGTTTGGCATTTTATGAATCATTTTAGATTGTACAGTGGGGTACTACACAAAAACAACATCACGCTCTTTTGTTTTGACGCTGTTTGACTATTAATACAAAGTTGAGACCTTTAGCTTTATTTTTTGTGTATACCTTCTGATAATGTTTAGGCCTGTTGTGGCTGCTACTTCTACTGCTCAATTCTGACCTATTAGTGTTAGCTCTAAAAAACAGGTGTTACAGAAATAACTACCTATTAAAAAAAAAAGAAAATCCCCGAAGTAAAAAAAAATAACATGCTGCTGTACTGAACCTAAATTATAATGAAAAAATGAATAATTTATTTCACATGCTAAATACATATTGCCAGAATACTGTGACACCATCTGTGAAAATCATACAGTTTCAAAATACCATATACAGTGTAAAGGCATCTCTGAAGGATTTTTATTTTTCCCATGTCATCCTCAAAGTCACAAAAATAGAGAGCCCCCGTCCTGCTGAACAGTGTTTCCTAAAATAGCTTTTCCATTGCTACATGTCCCCCATGGTAGTGCCCAGCTCCACATGATCTCTGTTTGACAATTCCCAAGTGTTTGAAATAGGTGCCAATACACCGAAATGAACAGAAATGAAAATAGTTCAGGTTTTCGTCCTGAACATGGGCTTAGTACATGATTCACCATTACTGAACCATTAACCCTATCCATGCCACTCCTGATTCTTCAGCAGTGATACCTAGATAATGGATTCAAGAAGTGCTCTGGTTCTTACGCTTCAACAACAATTTACAGTGTCCCCAAGTAGCCCAGACATGATCGCATCTTCAAAATGCTGTTGTTGGAATTCAGGTTTGGCCCAATGCATTGTTTGTTCCAAACATTGCATATTCAGCATTCACAGAACCGATGTACTATTTAGCTGGTTCACCAACCTGAACATTGCTTCTGTATTTGTAAATGTGACATTTGCTGTAGTACTGTACATATATACATACAGATGCACCCAGTGGTGTATTTTGGTTTTGTGCTGCCCTAGGCAAGACTAAAATCGGGCACCTCCCCCCGCATCTAAATTTGCCCCACCCTTTCACCTGCAAACTCCACCCCTTCCTCTTTAGGCTCCACCCCTTCCTATTAGAGCTCCACCCGCTGACAATGATGGGCCGCTATTCCTCCCACTGACACCAATGATGGGGCATGATTCCTCACACTGACACCGATGATGGGACACTATTCCTCCCACTGACACCGATGATGGGGCACTATTCCTCCCACTGACACCAATGATGGGGCACGATTCCTCACACTGACAGCAATGATGAGGCACTATTCCTCCCACTGACACCAATGATGGGGCACTATTCCTCCGACTGAGACCAATTATGGGGCACAATTCTTCCCAATGACACCAAGGATGGGGCACTATTCATCCCACTGACACTAATGATGGGGCACTATTCCTCCCACTGACACCAATGACACTTAACTTGCTGACCCCTGCTCCGGCCTAGGTGCTGCTGCAGCCAGCATACCTGGTTGCAGCAGCACCATCAGCACGACACACTTATTGGGCAGTCAGCTGTCCTGCTTCATTCACTCCAGGCGCTCCCTCACTGGATGTTCCGCCTCCTCGCAGGTGATTGGCTGCCTGTGTACCTTTCCTGAGCTACAGTTCTGATGCCCAATCAGCGGTGAGGAGGCGGAGCCGAGCGGCAGCGCGAACATCGAGTGAGGGAGCAGCCGCAGTGAATGAAGGAGCAGCGCTTCCTGGACTGGATCGTCGTGGGACTGGGACCGGAGCCAGGTAAGACACAGCAGCCCCCTGCCCGCCCCTGTACTTAGTGTCCCTTCCTTTGGAAGGGGGGGCGGCACCGGATGAAAAATGTATAAAACTTACCATTTTTTTTATTTGGTTCCTAATGTTTTCTTCAGATCATTGGAGCTTGTGGAGCAATGTTTCTCAACATCATTCAAATATCTAGCACTTTATTTTAGCTCATGCCCACCCTCACTCAAGTATTCATTGGCACGTGTACATTTATTACTGAGACCCCTTACCTTACCATAAACGGCTTCCGCATGATCAGTTATAGTCTTTATATTATTATTATACAGTATTTATAAAGCGCCAATAGTTCACTCAGCGCCATATACTTTCTGTTATCTGTTTTGTAAATGAATTATAATTTTCTAAATAGATGTGATGAACCCACTACAAAAAAGTGTGCCCTCAAAGCCATTAGACATGCCCCTTATCAGGGGCGGACTGACCATTTGGAAACTCGGGCACTGCCCGAGGGCCCGGGGTCAGTAGGGGGCCCCATGAGATTCCCCTGGTACCTTTTTCATACCGCCCCTTGATGACGTCGGTGTGACGAAACTGGTTGGGCGTGGCCTACTTGATGTGGACGTTAGAGAGCCATGCTCTTCTGTGCTGTATGGGAGAGATCCGCGGTGAGCGGTAATTGTATCTCACCCTTTTTTTGCGATTGAAGCTGGTGTCTGTTGGACACCTTGTTTGTGAGTTTCCTTATACCTTTTTTATTAAAGAGATAAATGAAAAAAAACGTATTGCACCATTATGTTCTCTTTTTTTCCCTGAGTGTACTGTATGCTCTCATGGAGGTATGAGAAAGAGTGGAGAAGTTCATCATAAGAGCTTGGGCTGCAAAGTTGTTTGTCTGTGATTACTATTATCCGGAAGTGTCTGAAACATCACCATATCTATTTGGACATCGGGTTCATTGCTCCCAGAGCACAAGCGCTGTTGCTGGTTTATAATCTGACCAGCCATTAGCTCTGGTGAGTTCATTTAATCTCCTTTGGTGGTGGATTTTTCACAATCGGTTCAAGTCACTGAAGATATATTTTTTTTTTTTTGGACACTAATATATATATATTTTTTTTTGGACACTAATGTATGTTTGGACAATATAATTATTTATTTAAAACACTAAATAAATTTTTTTTTTTTGGGGGATGATGATTAGAGATGAGCGAAGTATTCAAAAATTCGATTCGGCTGATTCGGCGAATTCGAGGAATAAATTCGATTCGATGCGAATATATTCGCTGCGAATTTAACTTATAAAAAGGGTGTTTCTAGGCTTCAGAGAGCCTTTATATTAGTGCAGAACACTGTACCTTTAATTTAAATGCCCTTGGAGTCTGCTGGGGAAGAGAAATAATACTGTCAGTCAGTATGACATGCAGATGAGTGCCGTCGATCTTAGAATCACCGCACACTTCACTCATTTGGGCAGTCACGGGGCCAAAACCAGAGTGTGGAGCCACAGTGTGGCGGTGGAGGCAGCAGCAATGGGAGGCCATACAGCACCCTATGACAAAAATGGAACCCACCAGCAGTGTGAGGAGACCTGAAAGTGGCACATGGCAGAGTGTGGCGATGGAGACAGCAGCAATGGGAGGCCGTACAGGGACCCATGAGACACTCTGGACCTGGCAGCAGCATGAGGAGGCGGTACGGGGGCCCATGGCAGATTACGGGCCTGGCAGCAGCAATGGGAGGCCCGTAATCTGCCAGCACCCTATGACAAAATGGAACCCACCAGCAGTGTGAGGAGACCTGAAAGTGGCACATGGCAGAGAGTGTGGCGATGGAGACAGCAGCAATGGGAGGCCGTACAGGGACCCATGACACACTCTGGACCTGGCAGCAGCAAGAGGAGGCAGTACAGGGGCCCATGGCAGAGTGGCGAAGCGTAAGCAGCTTAAATTGAAGGCCATACAGAGGCCTATGTTAAAAATAATAACATGTTTGGGGCATGATTCATGGAGGATTTAGTCAGTTGTGTCAGGAACTGGTGGTTTGAAATCCAGACTAATCCACGCCTGATTCATTTTCACAAACGTGAGTCTCTCCACACTTTGGGTGGACAGTCGTGTCCTCCGCGGAGTTACAATACCTCCTGCCGCACTAAACACGCGCTCTGATGCCACGCTACTGGCCGGGCATGACAGCCTTTCAAGGGCAAATTCAGCTAGTTGGGGGCAAAGGTCAAGTTTCGTTGCCCAGTAGTCAAGGGGATTGTCTACCTCGGTTGGCAGGGTGCTGTCCAAGTAGGCCTAAGCCTGTTGTTTGAGGTCCTGCTCCAGGTCCACCTGATGCTGCTGCTGCTGCGGCTGGTTAGTAGTTTCCTCACTGCGCTGGTGAAGAAAGCTACTCATCATTGACTGCAGACTGAGGCAGCTGCTGCTGGTGGAGCTGCCACTGCTCCTACCACCCCACCCCTCCCCTGCTGCCATGGCAGGGGAACGCGAGCGCACAGGGCCCACAGTGTCTGAGGATGGACGTTGGCGCAGAAAGGCAGAGACCAACTGACTACATAGGTGGTTTTTATAGTACGTTATTTTGGCCTCCCTCTCAGCAGGTGTGAAAAAGGCCACCATTTTTGAACGGTAGCAAGGGTCCAACAAGGTGGACAGCCAAAAGTCATCCCTCTGTCTGATGGTTATTATTCGGCTGTCGCTACGCAAGCAACCGAGCATGCTATGGGCCATTTGTGCCAAGGAATGCGAGGGACTCCCTGCCTCCATCTCCACAGCATACTGCCACGGTGCGTCTGGGTCCTCTGTCTCCTCCTCCTCCTCTACCAGATGCTCCTGCTCCTCCACTCCTGTCCGCTGAGTGGAAAAACCACCCATTTCACTCAATAATTCCTGAGCATCAATGTCCTCCTCTACCTCCTCCTCTTCTTCCTGTCCTGCCCCCACAGGGGTCATGTGGCGTTGAGATCTGTGCGCCACGTCTACGCACCCTGACCAGCCATTGTTAACAGCATTTGTTCCAGGACGTGCAACAGAGGAATGACGTCGTTCATCCCATAGTCCTGCCGACTCACGAATAGCGTGGCCTCCTCAAAGGGCCTCAGCAAGCGGCAGGTGTCACGCATGAGCTGCCAATGGCTGACATCGAAGTTACACAGGGGAGTACCTTTATCCGCTTGTAACATCAGGAAATCGGTGATGGCCTTTCGCTGTTCGAAAAGGCGGTCTACCATGTGTAGGGTTGAATTCCACCTTGTTGCAACGTCGCAGATCAGGCGATGCTGTGGAATTCCGTTCTGCCGCTGCAGCTCAAGGAGGGTGTGCTTTGCGGTGTAGGAATGGCTGAAATGCATGCAAAGTTTACGTGACATTTTAAGGATGTCTTGCAGTGAGATGGTGGATTTTAGGAACCGCTTGACAACCAGATTGAACACGTGAGCCATGCATGGCGCATGGCACAACCTTCCTTGACGCAGAGCAGACACACCATGTTCTTTCCGTTGTCGGTCAACATGGTTCCGATTTTCAGTTTGCGCAGCAGAGACAGCCATCTGTCGATTTCTCTGTTCATTACACTCAGAAGTTCCTCCCCTGTGTGACTACGTTCACCAAGGCATACCAGGTGCAGCACAGCGTGACACCGTTGCGCCCTGCACATGTGATATGCCGGTCGGGTAATGGGACTTGGCACGGGGGGGCGGCTGAGGACACGGCGGAAGAAGAGGTGGTAGAGGCGGACATCTTTGCCGGACCAAGACGTGCAAACGTGGAGGCAAAAGCGGCGTGACCTGTCCAAGTTGCTGGTGCGGCTGTGCCGGCACCACGTTCACCCAGTGGGCCGTAAATGACATGTACTGTCCCTGACCGTAGTTACAGCTCCACACGTCGGCGCTGCCGTGCACTTTGGCAGAGACCGACATGCTCAAAGACTGGCCCACCATCTCTTCTACATGTGAATGCAGGGCTGGCACTGCCTTTTTGGCGAGTCCCGAAGAAATGCCGGCTTGGCACTCTCCACCGCGGCGCGGCACAAGCCATCATTTCTCGGAAAGGTGCTGAGTCCACCACTTGGAAAGGGAGGGACTGCAGCACCAGCAACTTGGACAGGAGGACGTTCAGCTTCTGCACCGTCGGGTGCGTGCTCACAAACTGTTGTCTCTTGGAAACGGATTCCAAGAAAGACTGCTGACGGAATCCGTGAAGAGGAGTAGCAGGAGAAGGAGCATCTGAACGAGCGGAAGATGCCAACGAGCGACAACTCCCCTCAGCAGAGGTGTTGGAGCCTTGACTGGCTGATAGAGGGCGATTGACATCGGGTGACGGAGCAAGTAACGGAGCGGGTGATGGAGCGGGGGCTGGGGCAGGCAGAACCGCCGTATCTTTATCACGGTTTTCCCAGGCCACCAAATGGCGACGCTGCATATGCTGCCGCAACGCTGTAGTCCCAACATGGGCCCCCTGGCCACGCTTGACTTTCTGGCCACATAGTCGACATACAGCTACGTTTACTTCCTCGGGCGGCTTGACGAAAAATTGCCACACCGCCGAGTAGGAAACTTTGCCCCCGCTACTCCTCACTGGCTGACTGCTACTTCCTCCGTGCACACCGGCACCACTACTGGCCGTGGTGGTAGGCTGCAGTGGAGCTGGTGCTCTACTCCATGGCCGTTTGCCTCCACTGACACTGCTGCGACCCTGCTGCCTCCTGGGCAACCCACCGACTGTTTTGCTCGCTGGCAAGCTGGCATCCTCTTCTCCTGATGATGCGGAAGCAATAGCCTGATGATGACGAGGCTGCCAAGTGCGATCAGCCTCATCATCATCAATTAGGGTCTCCGCCTCACTACTAGCCCCCTCGGCTGCGTGTGGATCAGGAGACAGACCTGTCTCTAGACCGGCTACCGAGCCACTCTCCTCGCCAGTACTTCTTCGCCTGGCTGCTGAAGAGGCGGATGTCTCCCCCCGTTCCTGACCGCCCTCTGTTAGCTCTTCCTCACTGTACAGTGGGGCTGAGCCCACAGCATGCGATACTTCGCTTGGTGAGGGAACACCAAAGGACAGGGGCAGGTAGAGGACACGTGATTTCAGTGGGCTTGCTCCCGGGCCATGCCAACTAACGGTTGTGTCTGACGTACCCACCGACCATTGGCTGTAGGTGTCAGAGGTGACCTGGGAAGAGGAAGACGACTGAGCCAACCAATCGATGACGGCAGGGTTGTCGGTGGAGACACGACCGCTGGATGACACCGGGAGCACTGGCCTCTGGCTGCGACTAGTGCTGCCTCGACCCCCTTCCTCTGCTGCCACGTCTGCTCGCTCCTAAAACATTGCCTCCTCTGCCACTCCTCTGCATGTTGTCTGACATACTCTTTAATTCAACGATTCTGTGCTCCTGAGTAACAATTCTGTGTCCCTCAGTAACAATTCTGTGTCTGTCCTTGAGTAACAATTCTGTGTCCCTGAGTAACAATTCTGTGTCCCTCTGTAACAATTCTGTGTCCCTCAGTAACAATTCTGTGTCCCTGAGTAACAATTCTGTGTCCCTGAGTAACAATTCTGTGTCCCTGAGTAACAATTGTGTGTCCCTCAGTAACAATTCTGTGTCCCTCAGTAACAATTCTGTGTCCCTCAGTAACAATTCTGTGTCCCTGAGTAACAATTCTGTGTCCCTCAGTAACAATTCTGTGTCTGTCCCTGAGTAACAATTCTGTGTCCCTCAGTAACAATTCTGTGTCCCTCAGTAACAATTCTGTGTCCCTCAGTAACAATTCTGTGTCCCTCAGTAACAATTCTGTGTCCCTCAGTAACAATTCCCTCAGTGTCCCTCAGTAACAATTCTGTGTCTGTCCCTGAGTAACAATTCTGTGTCCCTGAGTAACAATTCTGTGTCCCTCAGTAACAATTCTGTGTCCCTCAGTAACAATTCTGTGTCTGTCCCTGAGTAACAATTCTGTGTCCCTGAGTAACAAATCTGTGTCCCTGAGTAACAATTCTGTGTCCCCTGAGTAACAATTCTGTGTCCCTCAGTAACAATTCTGTGTCCCTCAGTAACAATTCTGTGTCCCTCAGTAACAATTCTGTGTCCCTCAGTAACAATTCTGTGTCTGTCCCAGTAACAATTCTGTGTCCCTCAGTAACAATTCTGTGTGTCCCTGAGTAACAATTCTGTGTCCCTGAGTAACAATTCTGTGTCCCTGAGTAACAATTCTGTGTCCCTCAGTAACAATTCTGTGTCCCTGAGTAACAATTCTGTGTCTGTCCCTGAGTAACAATTCTGTGTCCCTCAGTAACAATTCTGTGTCCCTCAGTAACAATTCTGTGTCTGTCCCTGAGTAACAATTCTGTGTCCCTGAGTAACAATTCTGTGTCCCTGAGTAACAATTCTGTGTCCCTGAGTAACAATTCTGTGTCCCTCAGTAACAATTCAATTCTGAGTGATTCTGTGTCCCTCAGTAACAATTCTGTGTGTCCCTCAGTAACAATTCTGTGTCCCTGAGTAACAATTCTGTGTCCCTGTCCCTCAGTAACAATTCTGTGTCCCTCAGTAACAATTCTGTGTCCCTCAGTAACAATTCTGTGTCTGTCCCTGAGTAACAATTCTGTGTCCCTCAGTAACAATTCTGTGTCCCTCAGTAACAATTCTGTGTCCCTCAGTAACAATTCTGTGTCCCTCAGTAACAATTCTGTGTCTCAGTAACAATTCTGTGTCCCTCAGTAACAATTCTGTGTCCCTCAGTAACAATTCTGTGTCCCTCAGTAACAATTCTGTGTCCCTGAGTAACAATTCTGTGTCCCTCAGTAACAATTCTGTGTCCCTCAGTAACAATTCTCTGTGTCCCTGAGTAACTGAGTAACAATTCTGTGTCCCTGAGTAACAATTCTGTGTCCCTCAGTAACAATTCTGTGTCCCTCAGTAACAATTCTGTGTCCCTCAGTAACAATTCTGTGTCCCTCAGTAACAATTCTGTGTCCCTCAGTAACAATTCTGTGTCCCTCAGTAACAATTCTGTGTCCCCCAGTAACAATTCTGTGTCCCTCAGTAACAATTCTGTGTCCCTCAGTAACAATTCTGTGTCCCTCAGTAACAATTCTGTGTCCCTGAGTAACAATTCTGTGTCCCTGAGTAACAATTCTGTGTCCTGTCAGTAACAATTCTGTGTCCCTCAGTAACAATTCTGTGTCTGTCCCTGAGTAACAATTCTGTGTCTGTCCCTGAGTAACAATTCTGTGTCTGTCCCTGAGTAACAATTCTGTGTCCCTCAGTAACAATTCTGTGTCCCTCAGTAACAATTTCTGTTGTCCCTCAGTAACAATTCTGTGTCTGTCCCTGAGTAACAATTCTGTGTCTGTCCCTGAGTAACAATTCTGTGTCCCTCAGTAACAATTCTGTGTCCCTCAGTAACAATTCTGTGTCTGTCCCTGAGTAACAATTCTGTGTCTGTCCCTGAGTAACAATTCTGTGTCTGTCCCTGAGTAACAATTCTGTGTGTCCCTGAGTAACAATTCTGTGTCCCTGAGTAACAATTCTGTGTCCCTCAGTAACAATTCTGTGTCCCTCAGTCAATTCTGTGTCTGTCCCTGAGTAACAATTCTGTGTCCCCCTGAGTAACAATTCTGTGTCCCTGTCCCTAGTAAGTAAGTAATTCTGTGTCCCTAAGTAACGGTTCTGTGTCCCTAAGTAACGGTTCTGTGTCCCTAAGTAACGGTTCTGTGTCCCTAAGTAACGGTTCTGTGTCCCTAAGTAAAGGTTCTGTGTCCCTAAGTAACGATTCTGTGTCCCTAATACAGAGAGATCTGTCTCTCTTGAATGACCAGAGGCAAATGGAGAATTGTAAGATGGCCGCAATTTATAGCTCCACCATTACACAGTGCTGGCTGGCTGGCTGCTGATTGGCTAATGCGATCACATGTCATGAATGAATGCATTATGGGTCAGCGCGCCTTGTCTGCGCGCCTTCCCAGAGATCCCTGCTCCGTCGCCGCACATGTGCCGCCATTTTTGGAAAAATTTCGATTCGCGCATCCGAAGTCTGCTAATTTTCGGATTCGGCGCGAATCGAAATTTTTCTAATATTCGAAACGAATTCCACTTCGCCGAGTTCGATTCGCTCATCTCTAATGATGATATACTCCTTTGTATAAGTTTGTTATTAGCGCATACCTTTTAATTAGGATTATTGTTGCCAAAATTTATTTTGGGTGGGATATGCTGCTGACACTTTGGTGTTTTTTGTAAGTGGCGCTTTTTTTTTTTTTAATTTGGTATTGATTGTAACCTTTTTCATAGACTTTTTTGAGTTTGGGCAAGGACACAGGGGCCCCATGATCCCCTATTGCCCGGGGGTCCCATGAGTTGTCAGTCTGCCCCTGCCCCCTATTGTATGTGTACTACTGGATGAGAACCTGTGTTAAAGAACACTGTTTTCCAAAGCTATTTTAAAGTCACTCTAGCAATGCATGCTTGGCAACACGGGTTGAGCAATTAGCATCTTAGCAGTGCAGTATAGGCACCTGTGTGTATAAGCACATAACATGAACCATTGGTGGGATTTAATGATAGGATTAGAAAACCAGACATCAGCCCATATAACTTCTAGCTATTCAGTATGTTAAGTCTTCAATGGTTTCAACTATGAGCATTGAATGAGTCTTCCTTCGGACGAATCCTGACCATGTCAGGCCTCTAACAAACCAAAACACCAAATCTCCACAGTAAAAGAAGTATTATTTTACCACTGTCTCTTTCTGTTCAGTTCCAGTGCTGCAGTCTCTTTGGCAATTGCTATTTCCAGTCATATTTAATGACTGCATCTCAATCCGGGCACTGGGGTTTCTTCCAATCATAACAGGATTTAGCATTAAGGTAAGGGTTGGCAAAAGGAACAACAGTGTGTGGCAGGCCTCCAGCACTTCTGGTGTGGTTTGAGGCTCAAAAGACTTGCAGAGGGTACAAAACAGAAACAGGGAGGATGTAGGAGACACTGGCCCCTGGAGATATGAGAATATTACCTCTTCTATTGGAGGTAACTGGCATTTTGATTTGTTTAGAGTCCTGATAGAGTCTCTTTAACTCACATAAAATAAATAGCAGCCCAATCAGATAGAAGCCCAGTGTCAATGGCTTATCTGTCTGCTGTTAGCATGTTAACAACACCATATATTTTCTTATACAGTTTTACAAGTAGGTCTGGCTCCCCCACCTCTTATTTTTCTGTTGTCAAATACCCACACTACCACTACTTCAGTGAAACTCATACATTTGAATGACAAGGAGTAAGGCTTTGTGGTGGGAGGTGGTGAAGATTAAACTTAGCTTTGACTGAAAGCCCTATGTACAGTAGGTTCAAGGGGGCTTCATAGAGACACAGGGATCAATTTAAAGGCTAATGCAGGTATGGTAACATCCATCACCTTATAGATCTAGGTCTAGTTAGGTTAACTTGGATTTTTTTTCTTTTTTTTGCACACAAACAAATTCTGTAGACATTTACTAGAACATACGGTATCATCACAGAAAATACATACTTAAACATTGAATTATGTTAACAGTCCTGTTGGTATTGGTAAATAAATGCCTTCTGGGATTAAAATTAGGAAGAGATAGGCTATCAGCTGCTCTATTTAAGCATTGGTCCTGTCCTCCAGCAGATATCACATGTCAAAAGTCTTGGCCACAGGTGGAAGCATGAAGAGCATTTTCTCAAGGAATAGTAAATACATTTACTGTATGTTACCTTTGAATATAGTTTATGATGGAAGTCATAAACTTCAATAAAGGAAACTTTGGAAACCCATTATAAAATCACTGTGCAGTATCATCACTTTTTAAAGGGTTAAGTACAATTGTTTTAGTTAAAAAAACAATTTTAGCAGTCCATGTTTTCAGAGATTAATAGGTTATATGGCAAATGTCTTCAGCTGTTGAAATATTTTTACTGGTCGTCAAGACTGATTTAGCATTGTTTGAATAATGTTCTGTTTAGAGTAGAGAAACATAAATTAGTGGTTCGGTGTCTGACTGCCATTCTCATTAACAGTTACAGATTTTAATTATAAAGCAGTTACTTGTAAATGAATTACAATGGTAATACAAATAGTTTGAAAACTTTTAGGTACTTGCTGTAAAATAAATTGGAACTGATTTTTTTTTACAACTAAAGATAGCAAAAAATAATTCTTTGCAATTGTTATATGACTGATCCTTTTTAATGATCAGTTGTAAAATATTTTAGCATATAATGTGCTTTGTGACTGCTATTTTACAAAAGTAGGCTTGATGAAGTGGCAAAGTTAACTATGAAAAGTATTGTCTGTGTCAATAAACCATTTGATCATTGCTTGGCTGACTTTGGTGTATGACCTCAGTTTTCTATGATGGCATATTTACTACAGTAGCAAAAGTTGTTCTTTGTCAGTGGAAATTGTGTTCATTGCTCACGCACATTCAAGTTGGTGTCAGTTATTTACTGCACGATATGCTTAATAAAAAAGCCACATGGATCTTTTTCTGTATCATCATTTAATACCAGGGGTGGACTGACAACTCATGGGGCCCCTGTGTCCTTGCCCAAACTCAAAAAAGCCTATGAAAAAGGTACCAGGGGCATCTCATGGGCCCCCTACTGACCCCGGGCCCTCAGGCAGTGCCCAAGTTTGCAAATGGTCAATCCGCCCTTGTTTAATACACATACTATCTATGACAAGAGATACCAAGGGATAGGATGTAAGGCCTGGCTGGAAACAAACTGTAACATTGCTCTGGTAATGCCAATCACTAACAAAGCAGGGCCTCCCCAATTAGCAGTGGCTTGCATAGCTGAAATCCAGGCAAAACATTTTTTTAAAAAAACTTTTGTTTGACTATACAGTATATCTCAATAATCACAAAAGATATAAACCCACTTTTTTGACATGCCTTAACAGGTCATTATACAACCTTGTAAAAGTAATGATGACCTCATCAATGGGCAATATATAGCCTGTGCTGAGAGCAAAGCTGTGGGAGAGACCCAGCAGATCCACCCTCTACGGTCCACCTGCAGAGAACTAGAAGGGTTAAAAAAGTCAACTCAGCTCCCACTCCCACCTTCTGTCCAGAATTGTTGTGCCTCCTGCTCTCTGCTGAGCTGCAATAATGAGGTGGAGGCTGGGGAAAAGAAGTGGCTCCTAAATATTGGGACTGCAGCTCTCCAGATGGGGCAGTGGCTTGGTCCAGATTCATACCATGGTCTGCATTTAGTGATGCCTATTCTAGAGATAACTAGGACGCAAATAGTTTTTACCCACTGCCGGGCTGATTCATTAAGGCTTGTCAAAGAGCACTGAGGATATGCAATAAGGAAAAGCCATAGTTATTAGATTTCAGATTATTAGCTAAAAACTTATCACTGATTAGCTGTTGAAGGTTTCTACACTTTGCACATCTCATTGCACTTCCTACTGAATAAAACCTGAAACTGTTTCAGTGGTTATGTTCTTGGTGTATGCTTACAGGAGAGCACACTATTATCAGTTTGTTATTGCACCATCTTAAAGTAAAAATGTTTGCATGGAGGGCTACCACCAGCATGGGAGGCTTCTGCTGAGCTGAGCTCCCACTGAGTGCTTGTTCACACTGATGCAAATTTTATGCGGATCAGATCCAAAAAGCAAAGATTTGCATGTAATATACAAATTATTCCCAATGCAGGCTGTTCACTTATATGCAGTGCAAATTTGATTTGTTCCAAAAATGGTTCTGTGTGAGTTTAGTGCAGGTGTGGTTTAAATTTAATCTCATGCTATGCCAAGTCCCCATAGAAATCGCATTCAATTCTCACCTGTCACAGCAGAAATCGCACTGTGAAACTGCATCAGTTTTGCACTGCATCAATGTGAACCAACACAATTTTGTGACATCCTGCAGCCCATACAACCACGTTATCACACTTCACAAGTATCTGAACTGTACTACTATGTAGTCATGAATAGAGACAAGCAGCAATAAACATCACCTCCATAGACTAACAAGATGACAGCCAAAGTCCTCATCACACCAAAAACACCAGATGCTTATCCTGGAACAGGTAAATTCACAGGTCCTGGCAGAATGTAATACATTCCTTACAGGGAAAATAGAGGAGGTCAAAGTTGATACACTATACACTTCATCCCACATGACCTGCAGGACATTAGACAAAGGGTGAAAAAGACAGAATATGTACTTTCCTTCCTGGAAGCTTTCTTTTTTTCCCCTATAATTTTCAGATTGTAAGCAACTGAGAAGAAATGTGTTTTTTTGGCACCAAAAGCTGACAATCTGGAAAATTGTCTGTGATGGAATAATATCTGTGTTATTGGACCCATAGAGAAATCTGAGGGATAAAACCCTGGCACATTTATTAAAAATGGCTGCAAAATACATTCCCTGATGCTCATTTCTCTTTGTCATTCACTGTTAAAAGGGTACACCTAGTACCAGCTGAAACCCTCTCTTAAAAGCTTCACCATGACCATTCAGCCAACTAAACTGTAAAGACTGTGACCTGATTTTGTGAAAGGCCAGACAGAATGGCACTATAACCTAAGATGCCATGTCCATTATCATAGAGCTACGGAAACAAAGAACCACATTTATTTAAGCTACATGTAAATTATATGAAGCAAAAATAACACTTAATTTAATCTTTGGCCTATACATCATGCCTGTATGTTACTGATTATGGGAAAGTGCATTTCTACATTGCTCCTGAATATGTTATGAACTGGCATCGCACTAAACAACATCTCAACTGAGGCATCCTTGCTTTGTCTGATTGGTAAAATACCAGCTACCCTATGTTTTGTTAACCTCACATACTCTATACCATGTTACCACTCTGGTAACTAAAGCTTTTTTTCCCAACTACTATTAGTGGTCCCATGTTGAGGGATCTGGTGGATCCTAAGTGCTTACTCTTCTCTGAGTTATTTCATTGTGGGACTTTCTCCTTTACAACCACTTGACAGTGGGACTGTAGGCAGTATTCTTTATTCTATATCAATAAAAGATCACAACTCTTATTGTTTGGTGCTAACTTGTCCACAGCCGTTTTATTATTAGTGTAAATATCATTCTTTATAAAAACTCTTTATTTTTACATATTAGCTTACCAATAAGTGCAAGCTAATAACATTTTCACTTAAATTAATATTTCTCAAAACCCCAGCTTAGTCACTACAACGCAAGCTGTACTTATTAACACAACACTTATCAACCATATTAACCATACAGCTTTTTGCAATTAACATACTTACGTAATCTACCATAATTTATAATGATACTTACCAATAATAATTGGCAGCGATGAAAAAATGGGCGGGTGGGAGGGGAGCACCACAGAGATACCTCCCAGGTTTCTGTTTTTTACATT